TTCGATTTTGAAAACCTTTCATCACTTCAATTGCCGGCTGATAATAAACATCGCACAAGATCGTATGACCTTTGGCGTGTGACCGGAAATCGGTCACACGCTTAAGTCACGTTAGCATACTGTCACGAATTTTAATACGATTTTTTACGTTTGCTTTCGACAAAAAATAGACTCATCGAAATAAAATCAGGCCTGCTTTATTTATTTATTTATTTATTTATTTATTTCTTTCTTTTATAGCCTGCAGAACTTGTTCCCCATGCATCGCGCGTGTCTCGCACCCCCAGTCCGCTTCGCAGTGCTAGCGTGAAAAGCGCAAAAAACTGAAATTGACACCTTCTAGGCATTGACAGGCTGTGAAAAAAGTGTATTTTTTTATTATTTTTTTTTGAAGTGCTACATCATTTTCCTATAAATTTCAAACGTGACTGCTAAAAGACTGTTTGGAACCCATGGATGGAGAAAAGCTGTGCCGGAGAGAAGGTCAACCTCCCAGCCGAGCCAACTTTTGCGAACGTTTATATGAGGAAAAAACTGACCACTTTGTCAGAGTCAACAGTGCTTGCGCATGCTGTCTTTGTCTAGCCTTGACCGTGTTGTCCCAGCCAGCTGGGCGAGCCAAATTGGAGAAATATTAGCCGGGCTAGAAGGGTGAGGCCACCACTACCGGCTCAGTGGAGGGCTGACTTCCGGAAGCCCTCAACCCCGCCCACTACTGGTAGTAAGGCGTCTATCCGAACCAACCTTTTGTTTCTCATGTAAATGTTTTACCAAGTTTTGTAAGAAAATGGAGGAAAAGTTGGCTCGCCCAGGGTAGCTTGGGAGGTGAGTAAACACCAGATAACCCCGATAATAAGCACAAACTTTGATTGTCAGTTAGATGTCCACTATTTTAAGGTGACTCGACCCAGTTTTTTTTTGGGGGGTACCATCCTAGTTTGAAGCTCTCTGGTATCCCCACCTTTACTTTTATCGTAAGTCTAACACATAAAATGGATAACATATAGATCCACAGGCGGCCCAGACGTAGTATGTGTCACTGAATGAATATATTTATATTCACATGGACAAATTAATGCGATGAGTCGTCGAAACTCCCATGGACTAAAATAGTCTAAACGTCAAAATATAACAAAACAAAGCTAAAATACCTTCAACTGAACGTATCCTTGTCTTTCCTGGCCGGTTTAAGTGGCATTTTATTGAGTTTTGCAATTGTAGGTACTATCCACTAAAGAAGAATTAAAGGCTGGCTACAAAACAAACAGATCATCTCCACGCGCCTTCACACGAAGCGCTATAAATTCGAGAATAATCCACGAATCCGCTCCAAATAACCATCGGCTAATCTGCAGGTAACGTGTGCTCCTGCTTCTGGCTCGCTTGCTCCACAAAACCCATCGCAACTGCACAATAATTGCTCGCTCATCAACAACCACTGTTGACCTTTACGCTTCGATATGACCGCAAACGACCAGGTATAATACGCGACGTGAATACTCAAGCTTAGCGACCGCGTTCGCGCAACAATGCAGCACTTGCTATGGGAGGGATGGTACTATTGCTTCTAGGTCAATCGACTGACCGAAGGTTCGCTGCGCTAGTTTTGACCAGAAAACAAAAGGCGATCGCGGGACCGTCTGTAAGTTTTCAACAGGGCAGCCCTGGTTTTCAATTTCGAATTCTTCTAACGTTCGCTGTCTCAGCTGCTGTCACATTGTTCGTCCAGCCGCTTGCATAGGTTCTTGACTCTACCAGACTTATTTGCTTAGATTAACAACGTTTTACTCCATAATATGTTGTCCAAACTGGTGAAGGAGGACGAGAATTTTCCGCCCAGGAAAAAGGCAAAATCTGGCCCCCGCTATGCAGCTGAATAGAAGATACAGCTGAAGATATCGTAAAGTAAAATTTATGTGCGCGATACCTTTTTTTATTATTATTATTATTCTCAAAACTCAGGGGCACCCAACGATGATTTCCTTCTACATGCATTGAAAACACATATAAGGCTGTCCAGAGTACTTTTGATCGAAAAATGCATTTTAAACAGCGCTTACATAAATTTAGTCAGTAGGGCTAAAAGCGTAGCTAAAGATTTATAGCTTGCTCATACTAAATATAAAATATATCGTGTAATGCTAAGCGGAGAAGGCAACGAGACAGGGCCACCCAACGACTGTTTCCTCAAATACTTTCAATTGAAAACACTTTTGTAGCCATTCATAAAGTACTTTTAGCTCTATAGAAATGCATTCTAAGTGGCGCTATAAAATTTGCATCTCAGTGTTCGGCCATTCTAGAGGAACTTGAGTCTTTTCGAAATTACGAGGAATTCAGAATTATTTTCCCGAAAATTTTAGATGCAATTTAACGTATTACGAAGGAGATAATTTTTCAGATACCTTCTTTCATCACATTTTTGAATCGGAAAATTTTAGGATTCCATTTTACTCTCTATGAAAAGTAGCCTAACCCTGTGAGTGAAATGTGAAAAATTAAAAGTTGGATGCCCTTGACCAGAACTGTGAAAAACAACAATAGGTCTAATTGCAGCACACTTTCTTGTACATTTCCTAGCCGTTGATTTGCATGACTGCAACGTGAAACGTCCAGAAAACTTCCTGGTTTTCACTTTTTATGGAGAAAATGTGATACATGTTCTTATTCACTTTTTCCACTGCCGCTCATTTCTTTTAGCTCCGCTATAAGATTCGCATCTGTTCGGTGCTCCTTGGGCAAATTGGATCTTTTTAAAAATTACAAGGGCTTCAATATTATTTTCCCGATTGATTGACCTGGAAGCAATAGAACCATCCCTCCCATAGCAAGTGCTGCATTGTTGCGCGAACGCGGTCGCTAAGCTTGAATATTCACGTCGCGTATTATACCTGGTCGGTTGCGGTCATATCGAAGCGTAAAGGTCAACAGTGGTTGTTGATGAGCAAGCAATTATTGTGCAGTTGCGATGGGTTTTGTGGAGCAAGCGAGCCAGAAGCAGGAGCACACGTTACCTGCAGATTAGCCGATGGTTATTTGGAGCGGATTCGTCGATTATTCTCGAATTTATAGCGCTTCGTGTGAAGGCGCGTGGAGATGATCTGTTTGTTTTGTAGCCAGCCTTTAATTCTTCTTTAGTGGATAGTACCTACAATTGGAAAACTCAATAAAATGCCACTTAAACCGGCCAGGAAAGACAAGGATACGTTCAGTTGAAGGTATTTTAGCTTTGTTTTGTTATAGTTTGACGTTTAGACTATTTTAGTCCATGGGAGTTTCGACGACTCATCGCATTAATTTGTCCATGTGAATATAAATATATTCATTCAGTGACACATACTACGTCTGGGTCGCCTGTGATAGATCAATCTACAATATAACATAAAATTTTTGGCGATCGGAGTAAATGTCACGTGATTATAATGCCACGCCCCTTTGAGGTCTGAGTCGAAAATCTGCTGTTGCCGGCATTTTTTCGTGAAAATCTCTCTGCTACACATAGTGCGCATTAGTGCCTTGCGCTGAACAGAGTTTCACCAAAATCGCAATTCGAGAAATTCAGCGGTTTCCAAATTTAGGTCATAATTTATGCGAAAATGATAAGCAAACTTTACACGGATTATATCTAATAAACCACGAGATTCATCTCTTTATTTTGGGCATCGTTATGACAGATGGGTCCTTGCAAGTCAGCAAAACGCTTTAGGGCCTTGTAAATGCGCGCGATTTCGAGCAAAGCAAACATATAGAAGTTATAGTTTTCGCTATTTGTTGACGTTTGTCAGCGTTTAAGAGTCCTTCTCACGAAAAGAGCATTTTCTTAAAAATTCGTAGTTTTTTTTCCTTCAAATTTTTTCAGGGCCACAATTGATCAACTAACTACCCGGACTCTGGATTTCATGGTCATTGAAAAACTGTGACATTATCTTCTATAAGCCCAAACTTGAGTAAACATTGAAGATTTTTAGCGTTTTGGCTGAGTTTGTGCTTTGGGAGTTGTCTATTGTTTCTAGTCTGTCATTATACAGCATTCTTGTTAAGCACGCGTGCAATGACCGCGCTTGGCTGACTTCCGAATGCTCACCGAGATACGATAATTTTGGTACAGTGAGACAGGCCATCGCGTGATACATAGAGGTTTAATTCACAATTTTTAATCAATTGTCGTGCTTCTTGCGCCTTTGCAAAAAAATCAAGAAGTGCTACACACTAAATCTACTTACTATTAAAAAAATATCATTT